CCCTGCAGGGGTGGAGAGGGAGAGGAGGGGGCCACTGAAGAACCATCCATAATGCAGATGCAATGATAGTAACTTCTATCTGCTTCCTGCTCACTCCAGTATCTGATCTGCACCCTTTGATCCTATTGGGTGGAGTTTGCACTGAATGGAGACCCCTGGAGGAAGGCTAAGGAAGAGCCCAGGTGGAGGCTGTTAAGGATAGATGATTCCTGCAGAGGCCTAACTACCTTCCAGGATTTCCCAGCATGCTGGGGGGGGGGGGGTGGGAGTGTTCAGGCCTCTTCCTTGCCTGGGCCAGTATTTACCCCTTAGGAACCTGACTGTGGGCCCCTGCAGGGCCCTGCCTTCTTTGATTTTCTTACCCTGAAGCCTGGCAACACTTGAGCTAGAGAGGGAAAGATATCATAGCCTCCAAGATGGCCCTAAGTGGGCTCTGAAGCAGTGGGCCCCTTGGCATATGGAAGAAATTGGCAGTGGTCCATACTTGCTATTCAGGCTCAGCAGTTAGGGCTCAGTTTGTGTGTGTGTGTGTGTGTGTGTGTGTGTGTGTGTGTGTGTGTGGACCTGTTGAACTCAGGGCCTAGGCTGCTATCCCTGAGCTTCTTTTTTTTTTTTTTTTTTTTTCAAGGCTAGTGCTCTAACACTTTGATCTTTTTTTTACTGGTTTATTGGAGATCAGAGTCTCCTGGTCTTTCCTGCCTGGGCTGGCTTTGAACCGTGATCCTCGGATCTCAGCTTCCTGAGTAGCTAGGATTATAGGTGTGAGCCACTAGCGACTTTTGGACTCATCGCTCAGGCTTGGCCCACCCAGCCTGCCACTACTTATTACTGACAAGCAAGTAAAACTGCAGTACCTGCCTCTGGCAAAGGAGACTGTCACCTGGGGTGAAGGTCAAGGTGAGTCAGTGACTGGGGTGCTGAACTCAGTTCTCTTGCTTGTGGGCAGGGATGGAGGCTCAAGGGCACAGAAGCATCCAGAGCTGAGCCATGGTGACGAGGCCACCAGTGGGGATGAGTCACGGAGTCACGGGAGCTTGTGTCTCTCCCAAGGCTATTTATTGTCTGTTGGTGTTTTGGTCAAGACCACACTAACCAGACAACCGCAGCCTTTGCCATTGTCTCAGACTCCCAAGAAAGACCACCTGATCACATGGTAAAACTGGATTTTCAGACTTCCCTACCAGGCTTACAATCTAGCAGTCCCAAGTTAGGGCCAGTCACTTACCCTCATTTGCCAAATAAAGAGACACAGTGAAGGGCGAAGAGAGGAGATTTATTACATGGCGGCCATGGGAAGACAGCACTTCAGTACATCTCAGTCATCTTCAGAGAGATATACAGTGGCTTCTGGTTAATTGGGGAGCATTAGGGAAAAAGGTGAGGATAGTTCAAACAGTCGCAAGCCAGGAGTTGGTGGCTCACACCTGTTATCCTAGCTACACAGGAGGCTGAGATCTGAGGATCACAGTTCAAAGCCAGCCCAGTTAGGACTCTTATCTCCAATTAATCACCAGAAAACCAGAAGCGGCTCAAAGTGATAGAGTGCTAGCCTTGAGAAAAAGAGCTCAGAGACAGAACCCAGGCCCCAGGTTCAAGACCCACCACCAATGGGGTAAATAGAGAAAACAGTTTCAAGTTGAAGGTATGGCCTAGTTAACCATTAGCTTAATCTTTGTCCTGGAAGGAGTTTCTGAGAGGTTATCACCTTATTACTGCTACAAAATAGTAACATCATTCACAAAGTGTGTCTTGTGTGTGTGCCAGGACCATGGGCACGAAGTGAGTCACAGACCCCTCCAGTTGCTACAGCCTGTTCAAGCATCCTTCCCTTAGATCTTGGATTCTTCGAGGCCTGAGCTATGGCTCTGCCAAAGCCCTGAGGGTGAAGTGACTGGGATGGGCAGCTGCCATTCCTCCCACTCATGATGAAGCTTGGATGTGCTCAGAAGCCAAGTCTGACTCAACAACTCCTGAGCATCCTCTCCTATGCCTGGGGGCCTTCCTGGAGCCGGTGGCCTTCATGGTGTGTGTGTGTGTGTGTGTGTGTGTGTGTGTGTGTGTGTGTGTTGGGGGTGGGGGTGTTCCCAAGCAGGAAGCAGGCTGAGCTCTGTGCTCTGGGAGGTGTGGGAGGGTTACAATTGTTTATGTATGTGGAGACCAGCCAGGGTGGTCCCTGGTTTGGGGATCTGAAGACCAAAAGGGCCTTGCTGTAATGCCAGCCCTGCTCTTGGCCCTTGGGAGAGTGTTCAGGGTCTGCTTTCTCACTAAAGTATTAGTCACCTAACTAATCACCTACCCATTAGATAATAGCTTTATGAGGATTACTCTGTCCTCACAATAGCCTTAATTTATTGTGTCCTTACACTCAGGGCCTGGGCATTATCTTTTAGCTTTTTCTGCTTAAGACTGGAGCTCTACCACTTGAGCCACACTTGTGTTTCCAACTTTGTGCTGGCTAATTGGAGATAAGAGACTTTCAGCCTCCTGAGTAGCTAAGATTACAGGCGTGAGCCGCCAGCACCGGGCATGACAGCCTTGCTCAGTACTATTACATCAATAGGGGAAACTGAAGCATGGTGGGTCAGGTGACTTGTCAGAGGTGAGTGTCTGGTGCGTGGCAGAGTTGGAGTGGGACCAGCAGTCTGACTTCAGAGCCAGCATTATGTTCTCTGGTTCCCCATCAGCACTTTAAATGGACTTTTCTTCATTCCCTGTCTCCTGTTCCCTTCAGCTGTGAGCTACTCACCCCTGTGGTCATCATGGCTAGACAGTATCTGGCTTACATTTGTCAGGTAAAGGCTGAGAGAACAAAGGCTCTGAGTTCAAGCCCCAGGACCAGCAAGATAAACGAATGAATAAATAAAAGAGAGAGAACTGAACTCCAGAGACAGGCAACTGACAGGCAGTGAGTGAGCGGGGAAGGAGGGAGGGAGGAAGGGAAGGAAACAGCATGGTATGGTCAGCACAACCAGATGCTGTGGTGAGCAGGCCCAGCTGGCGGGTCTGATGAATGCATCCAGGCAGGCTGGGCGGAGAGGGTGATGCCGAATGTCAGAGCTGCCTACAAGCTTTAAAAGAAAAAAAAATCTAGAGCCAGATATGGGCAGTTCACACCTGAAGCTCTAGCTACTCAGGAGGCTGAGATGTGAGGATCATGGTTTGAAGCCAGCCTGGGCAGAAAGGCCCGTGAGACACACATACACACACACACATACACACTGCCTGGAAACACAAATGTAGAATGCAGCATTCATACTAATAGGGGGAAAGAAGTCACACCAAGGGCCATTTCTAACACACATGGGTTGTACTGGGCCCTAGGGGTCAGCGATACCCCTCCCAAGTCACACTGAGACAGACACTAGAGATCCAGCCTCTTCAGGTGTCAGGAGATGAGGGATCCTTTGCTGCAAAGACTCGGCCTTGGTTTCATCCCACTTGAGTGGTGGGGTGGGCTGGGCTGGGCACGTGTTCCCCTTAGTCATCCCCTGGGCCAACTTCTCCCTCAGCCTCCTGCTCCTGATAGCCCCGACCACCACTCATAGCCCAGCCACAAGTGAGGCCTACTTTTCAACAGCCATAATGCTGCTGGACTTAGCTCCCCTCTGTCAACACCCCAAACTCAACCAGTCCCAAGAAGAATTTCTCCAGCCTTTCCCCATGCCAGGTCTCCAAGGACTTAGCTTTCTGGGGCTTCCACTTACTGATTGGTCCCCACTTGGGCTCCCCAGAAACAGCTGACAAGGCTCCAGAGCCCTAGGTGGAGGAGAATAGATGGAGGAGCATGATGTTTGTCTGTCCAGGCCAACGATGCAGAGAAGCTGGCTTCAGGCCCATATGCTGCTTTATCTCCACACACATATGAATATATGGCCCTCTAAGTTTACCCAGGAAGCATCTTTGGCTGGATATATAATTATATATTCATGGATTTTTCTTTTGTGCCAGTACTAAGGCTGGAACTCAAGGCCTGGGCACTGTCTTTTCACATTTTTGTTCAAGATTCATGCTCTACCACCTGAGCTACAGCTCTACTTCCAGCTTTTTGGTGGTTAATTGGAGATAAGAGTCACAGGTGTGTCTGCCCAGGTTGGCTGCAAACTTGGATCCTCAGATCTCAGTGTCCTGAGTTGCTAGAATTATAGCCATGGGCCACAGAAGCCCCACTAGCCTCATGGATTTTTCTCCTGTTGTCTTATCATCCATTTTTGCCTACATCCGCATGTCTGTGGGTAGAACCTCCTATGGGTTGAAAATGAGACCTGTGAAGGGGAGATGAGCAGCTCTGGTGCAGTGTACCCCAACCTTCTTCGGTCCCACGGGCTTTCAGTGGAGGCAGGGAAAGCCACTGGAGATGTGGACAGGGTTTTCCCATCAGGTGAGCTAATTTGGCCACTCTTCATTTAATCCCAGTGACTCTAAACGTAGACTTTCTGTTGCTTGTCAGGTTAGGTCGGTGACAACAGGTAGGTGGCTGGTTAGAGAAGATCACTCAAAGATAAGCAGATGCTGGGCTGGGAATGTGGCTTATGGGTAGAGCACTTGCCTAACATACATGAAGCCCTGAGTTTGATTCCTCTGTACCACATAAACAGACAAAAGCTGGGAATGGTGCTGTGGTTCAAGAGTGCTAGCCTTGAGCCAAAGAAGCTCAAGGACAGTGCCCAGGGCCTGAGTTCAAGCTCCAGGACTGACAAAAATAATATATATATATATATATATATATATATATATATATATATATATATATATATATAAAAGCAGGAGCCTGCCAGACTAGGTTCATCTTGCTACATCTGCTGGCATGGCCTATTTTTTTTCTTAGCTATAAATGACTAGCATTACCGGTTCTGCACATCTGGCATGACCTGCCTGCTTAGTCACCTGCTCTCGAGCTTCAGACAGCTGTTGGGGCCCGCCTCCATTCTACCTCCTATCCATCTGGGGTCCCTCCCTCCCCTTTCTTCTTCCTGAAAGGAGCTGGATACACCAGATCCACAAGTCCTGATGTCTTTAAAAGGATCCGCCGCTGGAATGAAACACGGTTGAGAGCTGAGAGACTTGACTCTAGTGAAAGTCAATATCGTCAATATCCTCCAACTGGCCACCATGAGGGTTGGAGTGCCCTTCACACTGATCATGCTCTGCGGCCTGGCATGGGCTGGTGAGTTTCTCTCCGGTTGGCATAGGAGTAAGGTGGGGAGAGGTCTTGCCTAAAGAACAGAGGACTAGGCCATTTGGCAGAGGATGAAGGCAGAGAGATGAGGGAGAGTGAACTCTGTCCTCTAGTAATGGGAAGCTTTAGGCATGGGCTACAGGTGCTGTCCCTGTAGGAGTAGGCTGTGTGGGGTGGAGGAGTTGTAGGGATGATGGACTAATTTCATGGAAGCCCTTTCCATCTTGGAGGGTTAACTCCAAATACCACTGGTCCCAACTTCTTAACCCCACAAAGTATTGTTTTCTTGGGCCATTGTGTGTGTGAAGTGGGTCTGGGGCCTTCTGGGATGGACTGGTCCAGTTATTTTTAGCCACTCTCCTCTCTGCTGCTGAAGATAGATGAGGTTGTCTGGGGTGTGTGACCTGGGTCTACATGAAATCTTGAGAGATAGGCAAACACAGGAGGGAAAGAGGAACCCAAGATCAGGTGGTGAGCCATGTCTCATCTGGGGCTGTAAGAGCAGCCAAAGGAATGGGTCTTTATCCCAATGTTAAGGGTACTAAAGAGTAGACAGGCACCCATAGCTCACGCCTGGAATTCTAGCTACTCAGAGGCTGAGACTTGAGGATTGCAGTTTGAAGTCAACTTAGGCAGGAAAGTTCTTGAAACTCTTTTAACTAAAAAAAAGGCAGAAATGGAACTGTGGCGCAAGTGGTAGGGCTCCACCCTGGAGTTTAGATGCTAAGGGACAGTGGCCAGGCCTTGAGTTCAACCCCCAGTACTGGTACAAAATGGTGGGGGGGGGAGAGGGCTTGGCCTACAATTTCAGGAATGTAAGGGATAGCCAGGGCAGAGGAAAGGAATACCTTCCTGTTTTGTAACTGTACAAAACGCTGATGCTGAAGTGCTGATCGGTAGTTAGTGGGTGGGAAGGGAGGAGTGCCAAGGGAGGGGGACCAAGCTGAAGGGTGTGGGCCGAGTCTTCCTCTGAGCTTGATGTTATTTTACCCTGCCAGGCTGGTCCTGTCTGAGACTGTTGCAAAGATCAAACAAGATCACTGGGGATAGCTGGGTGCTGTTGCTCACACCTGTAATCTTAGCTACTCAGAAGACTGAGATCTGAGCATAGTAATTCGAAGCCAGCCAGGACAGAAAAGTCCATGAGACTCTTATGTACAGTTAACCAGCAAAAAGCTGGAAGTGGAGCTGTGGCTTAAGTGTTAGAGTGCTAGCCTTGAGAATAAAAGCTCAGGGACAATGCCCAGGCCCTGAGTTCAAGCCACAGAACCAGAAAAAAAAATCACACAGGAAAAGAGTAGAGGAGTGAGATCTCAGGACATTGGGATTTCAGTTAGGATTGTGATCATCAGTATTGGGGGGGGTGGGAGTGGGATCTCTTGGGGATCATTTCCAATCAGGCTGTTGATAAGGAGATCCCTAATGGAATTCCTAAATGGAAAATCCTTGTAGGAAAACCTTGTTCCTAAATCTTCCCTGTACCCCTGCCCAGCACCTCTCTGGTGCCCTGAGAATGGAAAGGAAGCAATAGAGAGACAGGGAGGGTGTGAGACCTAAGACTCAGGACTGTTGGTTGTCGGAAGTGGAGTAGGTGGTTGTGGAGGGGGGAGGCTGGTGGGATTCAACTCTCCCCATCTCCTTTGGAGAGGAGACATCTGATTCCTGGGGACGTCCCTGAGGGTGCTAGGGGTGCAGGCAGGCATCAGATCTGGCTGTGAGCAGATAGAATGTAAAACCGACAGAGGAGTGTCATGGCTACTCCCTGGTCCTCTAGGCTGCTGCCTAGGCTGTTTCAAGTCAACAGAGGCTGAAAGCTGGTCCTGGGGATGAAGCTTCTTGGCTGATGAGGTCTCCATGGAAACAGAGATGGGGGGGGAGAGGGAGGGAGGAAGAAAGGAAGGAAGGGACAGCAGAAAGCATGTCCAAGAGATGAGACAGTGTGACAAGGGACAGAAAATTGCTGGAGGGAGCAGTGATCTAGGCCCTGGCTCCTAAGCAAGACTTCAACAAAGCCTCTCTGTTCACAGGAAGTGTGAGGTGGGGCACGGGAGTGAGTAGCCAGGATGACTGGTCATCTGAGTGTCCCCAGCAAAACATAGCAAGGCGCCTGTGAGGAAAAAGGCCTTCCCACTCCTGCCTACCACCCTCATGCTTCAAGGCCACTGAGAAATGTGAGGATCCTGGGCATGGGGCGCTCACTGGGGGACAAAGCTCTGGAGCAGGGATGACAAAGCGTGTCCAGTCTACTTGGGCCAGTGGGGGGTGCCCTCCTGGGCTTCGCAGCCAACTATTTACTTGTTGTCCTACTTAGTGGGTGCCAGTGCTGGAGGAGGGTGAATTCCTTCTGGTCTGGCCCGTTAAGAGCAGGGTGCCGACTCGCCCACATTCTCTCCCTGTGGATACGGTGTGCTGCCAAGCGGGCAGAATGGGCAGCTGACCAGGCTCCCTCTCTGGCCGGATGGTTTCCCTTCAGACCTTTGCATTCAGGTGCCAAGGGAGGTAGTTTAAGATTCACAAGGAGTTCCTGTGAGCTTGAAGGACACCGTGGCCTCTGGCGTGGTAGCCTGTGGGGACAGTCCACTGGACCATCGCCCTTTCCTCTTGGAGTTGACGTAGATCATGTGAAGTTGCCTCAGGACCCGAGTTAACCTTGACCTGATATCTCTCTTACTCAAGGAAAATTGATTCAAATCTGGGTGCTCATGGCTCCCACCTGTCATTCTAGCTATTCAGGAGGTGGAGAGGTGGAAGATCCAGGTTTGAAACCACACCCAGGAAGAAGAGCTTAAGAGATGCTGTCTCTGAAAATAACCAGCCAAAAGCTAGGCTGGGGATGTGGATCAAGTGGTAGAGTGCCAGCTGAGTAAGAAAGCTGCACAAACAAGCAGAGCAAACAAAAGAAAGTGAGAGTTCAAACTGAGTTTAAGACCTAGTATCACCCTCCAAAATAATGGCCACAACCACATAGATAGAAAACAGTAGAACTAGACTTCCAGCCCCAAATATTCTTTGCCAGGGTCTTGGGTTTTCCTCAGTGCTCTCCCATCCCTAGCAAGACCTGGTATAAATCCAAGCCTCCAAATCCAAGCCAGTTAGTAACCCCTCCTCCCTAAAATTTGCCTTCAACTCTGGCCAGGCCTAAGTGGACATACAGACCTGTGTCCCGTACAACCAGAGCCAAATTCCATAGTTAGCCAAAAACAAAACTAACATTATCTCTCTTCTTCTGCCATCTTCCACCTAACCTTAGACCTACGCAAATACTCATGCAAAATTGTCATTTCATCAGCCAATTTACTCCTAGCCCAAGTCCTTTGCTGTAGCTCTTAGTCTAAAACCTTCCTCCACACCTGGTGCATTTTGGGTGTCTGTTTCCTTCTTGGTCTGATGCAGATGCTCACAATGCCCTTGATTCTGACCTTGACATTCTGTGCAAACCTCTGCCAGATCCCCAAATCCAGCATTCTCCATAGGGAAACCTCAGGAACCTCAAATGGGAACAAAAGCTCTGTTATTACCCCTCAAGGCCAGAGTGGGAGGAAACAGCCTCTTGGCTCCTGCCCCACGCTGCCTTTGCTGTGGGAGCTCTTGGTGAGGCCTGTTTGTTTATTTTCTTCCACAATAGTAGTGGGTTTGCACTGTGCCTTTTAAACTTGATTGTTTTATGTTCCTTGTGACCCCAAGCTTGCTTCTGCACATCATGTGTCTGGATCGAGGGATGTGGTCTGTGGTTACATAACAGAATCTCATCCCTAAAGCCCAATTCTTACCCATACCCACCTCATCCCAGCAAGTGTAAACTCATCTGAATGCGTTCCAGAGGCAGGAAGGGAGAGAAAGCTGTGACCATGACGGGTGTGGGGCAGGGTTAGGGGTAGAAGAGAGGGCAGGTGGAGTCATTGGAAGAACAGCCACAGATCTGTGGTGTGGCCACCAGTGACCCACACCCAGCCCACACATCTTTCTTTGGCTGACCTGAAGTTTGTGTATGTGGTGTAGGCTCACATACACATGCACGCTAGTCCTACGGCTTCGGATCCTAGGTGCTGACCCTGAGTTTTGTTGCTTAAGGCTGGTGCTCTACCACTTGAGCCACAGCTCTACTTCTAGACTTTTTGCTTCTGATTATTGGGAGATAAGAGTCTCACAGACTTTTATGCCTAGGCTGGTTTATGAAGCAAGCTGCTCAGCTCTCAGACAGGTGTGAGCCATCAGCCCTTGGCTTCTCTTCCTGTCTCATTCTGCTGCTTTGCTTGTTCATGTCTCTGACTTCGTCCAGCAGGCAATTGAATCTGAGACCTTGGTCAGGGCTGTGAGTTTGGGAATCATGAGGGTAGAGGTAGTGGTGGTAATGGAGGCTAAACTGGAGCCTATGACCTTACCTGCCCATCTATAAACCTTCCTGTAGGGGGCACTGTGAGGAGTGTCCAGAATCACCAGAGAGCTCAGTTTTGGACTTTCCCCAACTTCTAGGAAACATGGAGTCCTGCGCCTCTCGCTGTCATGAGAAGTTTGACCGGGATGCTGCCTGCCAGTGTGACCGCCGCTGTCCCCGCCACGGGGACTGCTGTGAGGACTATGAACATCTTTGTACTGGTGAGGTTTCTTGGAGGGTGGAGAGCCCGGAGGCCAAGCAGGCCTGGCCACTTATGAGTCAAGTCTACCCAAGGAGTGTCTTGCTGTCCAGAGGGGACCTGGGGACTCAGTGAAGACCTTCTGGACAGGAGAGCCTTCAAAGACAGAGGCAGTGGTTCAGGATCTGGCTACCACTCGTCTCAAGCTTTCTAGGAAGTCACCAGTTTTTGTGTTGGTATTGAACTTAATTAAACTCAGGGCCTGTACATTGTCCTTGAATGGAACAGCTCTCCTTCTGGCTTTTTGGTTGTCAATTGGAGACTTTCCTGCCTGGGTTGGCTTCAAACCCAGATCCTCAGATCTCAGCCTCCTGAGTAGTTAGGATGACAACTGTGAGCCACCAGCATCTGGCTAGAGGTCCCCAATTTAAATGTGATCGATATCCCTCAGTTGCAAGATTTATGTTAAATGATCAAGATGAGCAATACCTTGAAATTTTAAGTACTTAATTCCACAAAAGAACAAAACAATAAGCAATAGGTTAACATGAATAACATTACCAATTCTTTTGCTTTTATCCTTCCTTCCTTCCTCTTTCTTTTTTGTGCCGATCCTTTTTTTGGGGGCTTGAACTCAGGACCAGAGCACTGTCCTTGAGCTTTTTTGCTCAAGGTTAGTGTTCTTCCATTTGACCCACATCTCCACTTCCAGGGTTTTTGGTGGTCAATTGAAGGTAAGTGTCTCATGGACTTTCCAGCCCTGGCTGGCTTCAAACTAGTATCCTCAAGATCACAGCTTCTTGAGTAACTAGGATTAGGTATGAGCTACTGGCACCCAGCCAGAATACAGTTCTTATAGGCCTAGGAATTTCCCCCTAACTGAGAAGTTACAGGAGTCATAATAGATGGTCTTAGGTCAGGGCTTTGTTGTTTGGAGAACATCAAGACTATTGTCATAGCCAACCAGAACTTTCAGAAAGCATCACCATTACCCCTTTTTGTGGGGTCAAAACTCAGGGGTCTTGTGCTTACTAAGTAGCTTCTCTGACACCTGAGCCATACTTCTGGCTCTTGGGTTTCAGTTATTTTTTGAATAGGGCCTTTGTTTTGGTTTGGGTAGGCCTGGACTACAATCCTCCTATTTATACTTTCCATGTGATTGGATGCACGCCACCACATTCAGCTTTTTATTGATTGAGATGGGGTCTTACAAGATTTTTTCCTGAGCTGACCTCCGGCTACAATCCTTCCCACCTAAGCCTCCTGAACAATTAGGGTTAGGGATGTAAGCCACCATGCCCAGCTTCCCCTTCCATTTTTATACTGGGTATCCAAATGGTCCACTGCGGGGGCGGGGGCGGGGGGGAGAAATATTTTCATATTTTGAAAAATATAATCTCAGTAATTTGAAATCCATCAGAAATAGCTTACATGTCCAGTTTTTTGGTTTTTTTTGGGGGGGGGTCCGGTCATGGGGCCTGAACTCTGGGCCTGGGCGCTGTCCCTCAGCTCTTCAGCTCAAGGCTAGCACTCTACCACTTGAGCCACAGCGCCACTTCCGGCTTTTTTCTTTTTGCTTATGTGGTGCTGAGGAATCGAACCCAGGGCCTCCTGCATGCAAGGCAAGTGCTCTACCACTGAGCCACCTTCCCAGCCCACATGCCCAGTTTTTATTCTGGGCATCTGGAACTTGTCCTCTGTACCCTGTATCTGTTAATTTCTTGTTCCTGAAGTTGGGGAGCAGAGGACTAGGAGAAAATGGGAAGAGAAGTCTTGGAGATGATTGGTGACTTTGTTTCTCTACTTACAGCTGAAGAGGAACCCACAGAACCCGATACACACCTGGAGCTGGAAGAAGCCCCCGCCAGCTGTGAGCCTGCCCCCCAGATGGGGGTGGGGGGCAATGGGAGGGTCACTTTATCCTCAGCAGCAGCAGGCCCAGGCTAGAGACTGGGGCCCACGCAGCTAAGGGGAGGCCAGTGAACAGGAAAGAGAGCCTGAGGCCTGGGGAGGGAAGTGGAAGAACTTTATTTTTAGAGTGGGAAGATTATGAAAACAACAGACCAGAAAGTAAAGTCAGACCTCAGAAGGAACTTCCTGACTGCAGGGTGTGCAGGAATGGGGTTTGTTTGTTTCCCTTCCCTGGAGACCTCCAGTAGGAAGGGCAAGGAGCTGGGCCCAGGGATGCAAGCAGGGCCTGTGGCAAGCAAGGCCTGTGGGAGTCTGGCGTGCCCCCTGGTGGTCACAGGGACCTGGCCTCACACCACCCCTTCGTTCTTGGCAGACCTGTACTCAGCACCCAACTCCTGCCAGGGCCGCTGCCGAGAAGCCTTTGACAAACACCACCCTTGCCACTGCAATGACCGCTGCCAGGAATTTGGAAACTGCTGCGAAGACTTTGAAAGCTTGTGTGGTGACCACGGTCAGTCCATCCCCTATGGAGATGCCCAGAGATGTGAGGGATTCTCTAGAGAAGTGGTTCTCCAGATGTGGTGCTTTGCTGGTCAGCAGCCGCAGCCTGGGCTGAGACTCTGTAAAAGGAGGTAGCCAGGGCCTCCACCTCACAAGGTTGAGAAGCTCGGAGCTGGCTTACCACTCTGTCTGAACGTGCCCTCCAGGGCATTCTGAAACCTAGACTGCACTCCTTTGAGGGAAGGGATGAGGGTGGACTTTCTGTGGCCATCATGGAATTACCTGTGCTGATGTTCAGCATCCGTTGAGCCCCTGTCCTTCAACTACCAAGTCCCTCTTTCTGATCTGGCTTCCAGAAAGAGCTCACAAGGGGGTAGACGCGATTGCCCACCCCACCGCATTCCTTCTGGCTCTGACCACCTTTCCCCTCTCCCCCAATTTGTCCCAGAGGGTTTCTCCCACAGTAGTGACACCATTACCAAAGAAGAGCTTCGGAGCATCTCTGAGAAGATCTACAAGGTAGACACCAACAAGGCCCGGAAGGAAGACATCATCCTCAATAGCCAAAACCGCATCACCCCAGCTGAGACAGGAGACCAAGTGGATCACTGCCCAGAGCCGTGAGTTCTCCTTTGTGCCTCCTTGCTTCCTTTGATACCTCAGCTATTTGCATCTCAGGCCAGGCAGGATAAAGGGGTGGCCAGAGGTGAAGGCACCTCGAAGGGCTGTTGGTGATCTTAGTTGGGAGGGGTTTCTGTGGCAGAAATAGTACTGATCTTCCAAGAGGGATCTCATGTGTGACTTTTAGGAGCAACTGGGTATGGTGGCTCATACCTGTAATCCTGGTTATTCATGAGATTGAGATCTGAGGATCAAAGTTCAAAGCCATCATGGGCAGAAAAAAATCCCCAAGAGTCTTATCGCCAATGAACTAGCAAAAGGCTGAAAGTGGAGATGTAACTCAAGTGGTAGAGTATCAGCCTTGAGCAAGCACTCACGGACCGGAGTTCAAGCCCCACTTCTAGAACCAAAACAACAAAAAAAAGCACTCGGAGTCCTCTCTGCTTCTGAATCCACCCCTCTTGGGAAGCACCTAACCTGTACAGAAGTTTGTGGAAGGGCTTTCTGCTACTTGTGGAGGATTCTCAGTGAGTCTCCATCCACCTGCCCCAGGCTCTTCACTTATGTCAATGAGCAGCTGTTCTCCAAGCCCACCTATGCAGCATTCATCAACTTGCTCAACAACTACCAGAGAGCCACTGGCCTTGGGGAACACTTCAGCGCCCAGCAGCTGGAGGAGCAGGCTGTCTTCCTCAGAGAGGTCATGAAGACGGCCGTCATGAAAGAACTCTATGGCTTCCTCCATCACCAGAGTGAGTAAGCTGACCCCAGGCCCTGGGAGGCCATGGGGACATAGTGCATGGGCTATGGGAGAGTCAGGCCCTGCTGAGATTTCCCTAGTAGGGTGGCTGGAAGAGTGGGTGAGGGGGTGGTAGGGACCACGCAGAGACATCTGAGAAGGATCACAGACAAGGCACAGAGAAATCAGGAACCCCATCAGGATCTGAGGGTTCTCTGTCTACTGGCTTGGAAATAATTTCATCTTTTGGTTGTTAGCCATCTGTGGGTCCTCTACCATCTGTGTCCATCTCAGGATCCTTTGCATCTGTCCCCTCTCCCACCCCAGGGCACCTTTCAATCACTCCTTTGTCCAGAGTTACTACAGTTCGGGCAGATCCCTGCCACCTCTCTGTCTCTCTGTCTCTCTCTCTCCTGCAATGAAAGGGCGTGGCCAGTTGCACGTGTTTGCAAAGCAATAGCATGAGAAAACCAACAAAGGTTCAGAAGATACTTCTACCCAGAAGAGCTCTGGCTGGAATGTCTCAAGATACAGAGCCATTCCAATCAGACCAAAAAAGGTCTTGGCTTTGAGATTCCTTGGCTCAGGGCTCTGGTTGTTAGTTGTCCTTCCTCCAGATTCCTTTCCTGAACTCTGGGGCAGCTGGGCTTTGTCTCAGGGGTGGGTCTGTCCAGGTCTCCCATCAACTGATGGTGGGATCCGTGGAACTAATAATGCCTTTCATCAACTGCCTAGGCTGAGATGGTAACACTGATTGTTTTAGGTGAAACCAGTGGCCCGAGGAGCCTATGTAGTGATGCAATCCTGCAGCGCCCCCTGGTGTCTGCTCTATGCTAATACATGAATGGAAGGAACTGAAGCCCTTCATTCACGTTTAGTGAGAGAAACTGAAGCCCAGCCAGGCTAGACTTGAACTAGGTCACAAAGGGGCTCTCCAGGCCAGGTTGCTCTCCTTCTCCCCTCTTTCCCTGTCCAGATCCCACTTGTCCTCCAAAGTTCTAGCTCATGTCTTCTCACACTTCGAAAAGTTTCAATGGCTCAGCTTCTGTTGGCTTTGGTACCTCTTGAGAGATTGTGGTGTGGCCCAAATTAACCACGGGTCAATGAGACTTGATTTGATACACAGTTCTGTGACTTACTCAGGTGCAATCATGGTGGTGTGGCTTGGATGGATTTATCCACATTTGATGTGCTGGAAATTTGATCCCTAACATTGAATGTGAGATTGAGATTTGGAGGTGAGCTCTCTTGAGAGATGAATCCATTCCTAGATGAATGGATGGTCGAAGGAGTAGCTTGGTTATAAAAACAAGCTCTCTCTGACATGCTTGCTCTGTCTTGCTGGGAGATACCATGTCACCATTAGAAGACCCTCACCACATACCTGCCCCTCAATTTCCCAAACTCTAGTATTATGAGCCTGACTAACTTCTTTATAAATGACTTGGTCTTAGGTGTTTTGTTATATTACAGAAATTGCACTAAAATCCTGATCAAGTTGTTTTTCTCCTTTGATTCTTATCTGTGAAATAAACTGGGACAGGGGGCAGAATTAATATTTGTAAAGGACCCGGTAGAAATCCTGGCAACTATTTAAATGCTAGTTAGGGTAACTATTTACCTTGAGAACTCATTCTGTTATCAAATGTTGATTCCATCTTGTTTTCCAACTGTGTTTTAATCCTTGAAAGGAGAAGAGTATTCCTGGTATCTCTTTTGGATCCTCCCCACACAGTTCTGGGAAGTGAACGGTCAGAATTGGACGGCTTCATGATTGAAAGCCTCGGCCCTGACCCTTCCCGTGGGCCCCAAAGGCCTTTTGAACATCACATGGCTCTCTAATCTGTACCTACATAAAACTTAGTGTAAAGAGAACACTCAGTTCTCACGTCTTCCCCCAGCCCTGCTCCTCCCTGCGTCTTCCCATCTCATACACATCACCGCAACCCATTCCATTTCTCAGGCCAAAAGCCAGAGTCAGATGTGACTTAATGTTCTCTACACCGTCTCCTCCACCAGTTAGCCCCTCCCACCTTGAAAATATATCCTGGATCTTCCTCAGCTACCAAGCTGCCAAATAATTTCCTCTTGTTCCTCCTCCTCTTCCTCCTCCTCCTTCTCCCTCCTCCTCTGTTTTCTTCCCCCCTCGTCCTCTTGCTTCTCATTCTCCTTTTTCTCTTTCTCCTTCTTCTCATCCTCTTCTCTTCCATCTCTTCTTCCTCTGCCTTCTCCATCTCCTCCTCCTGCTTTTCCTCCTTCTCTCCTCCACTATCCCTCCTCCTCCTCCTTCTCTTTCTCCTCCTCTTCTTTTTCTCTTCTTCCTTTTCATTCTCCTCTTTCTTTTTCTTTCTCTTCCTTCCTTCTCCCTTTTCATCTTCTTCTCTTCCATCTCTTCTTCCTCATCCTTTTCACTCTCCTTTTCCCTCTTTCTCACCCTTCCTCCTGCTCCTTAACCTTCTCCTCCACCTCTTCTTCCTCTTCCCCTTCTCGCCTCCTTCCCTTCTTCTTTTTCCTCCTCCTTTTTTAACTCCTTTTCTCCCTTCCCCTCCTTTCTTCATTTTCTTTGCTCCTCCTGTATCTTCTCTTCATATCCCTCCTCCTCCTTTTTTCTTTGTTCTTTTACATTAAAACAATTTTATTACTATTTTTTTTGCTTATGTGGTACTGAGGAATTGAACCCAGGACCGACCCCATGCATGCTAGGCAAGCACTCTTCCACTAAGCCAAATTCCCAGCCCTTCTTTTATATTTTAACACAAAGTCTCACTAGAAAGCACAGAATGGTCTTGATTCTCAGTTCTCCTGCCTCAGTTTCCCAAATATCAGGGTTGTAAGCATATGCCGCCACAAACTACCACTGACTGGGAAAAACATTAGCCCTAAACTGGCCTCTCTGCTTTCACACATATGGCCCCATCTACATTTTAGAAACAAAGCTCCTGTCACATGATTTCCTTGCTTAAAACCTTTGTGTCTGATCACCACCAAGAAGCTGCAGGCTGGGCCCACTCTAGCACCTGGCTTACATGGGTTTTATCATCTTATTTATTTATTTATTTAGGTCAGTCATAGGGCCTGAACTCTGGGCCTGGGCGCTGTCCCTGAGTTCTTCAGTTCAAAGTGAGTGCTCTACCACTTGAGCCATAGCACCACTTCTGGTTTTCTGGTGGTTAATTGGAGATAAAATTCTCATGGACTTTCCTGCCCGGGCTGGCTTTGAACTGTGATCTTTATACCTCAGCCTCCTGAGTGGCTAGGATTACAGGCAGGGTTTTATTATCATTGTCTGTCTCAGATTCTTTACCTATTACTTGGACAACCAGTCATGAACTGTCAGTGTCCTTACATAGCAGCACCTGGAACAGGGCTGGGCACGCAGGAAGCATCCCATGCATCTAAAATATTGGGCTGAGCTCTGACCTTCTCGCCATGGCATGCAGGACCTGCAGCCCACTACCTTCAGATGTCCTCCCCAGCACTTTCCCCCACTCTCTATGCTTCAGACATAGAAGCATCCACCCCCCAGATCTCTTGGAGAGAGCTCATTATCCTTGAAATCTGAGATTAGTGCTATCCTTTGGAACATTCCTTTCTGATCTTCCTTTTAGGAAGAGTGCGTGTCTTAGTTTGTTCTATGCTGCTATAACAGAAAGTAAAGGGAACAATTGATCACATACACAAACATATTGGTTTGCAGTTCTAGAGAATGGGAAGTTTAAGGTTGAGAGTTAACGTCTGGCTGGGCACTGATGACTCATGCCTGTAATCCTAGCTCCTCAGGGGGCTGAGATCTGAGGGTTCCAGTTCAAAACTAGCCTGGGAAGGAAAATCCTTGAGACCTCTACTAAAATTGACTACCAAAAGCTGGAAGTAGAGGTGCGACTCCAGTGGTAGAATGCCAGCCTTGAGCAGAAAAGGCCAAGTATGATCATGAGGTCCTGAGTTCAAGCCCTAGGACTAAAGAAAAAAGAAAAAAAATTGAGAGCATTTGGTGAGAGCCTTCATGCCCTGTCATTCCACACCGGAAGGCAGAAGTGCAGAGGGGGAGAAAGAGAAAGATGAAAGTGCTGAACACATCCCTTAAATGGAGATCACCTAGCCGGGCGCTGGTGGCTCACGCCTGTAATCCTAGCTACTCAGGAGGCTGAGATCTGAGGATCGCGGTTCAAAGCCAGCCCAGGCAGGAGAGACCGTGAGACTCCTATCTCCAATAAGCCACCAGAAAACCAGAAGTGGTGCTGTAGCTCAAGTGGTAGAGCGCTCGCCTTGAGCTGAAGAGCTGAGGGACAGCGCCCAGGCCCAGAGTTCAAGCCCTACGACCGACCAAAAAAAAAAAATGGAGATCACCCTCTTGATAAGGGACCCATACTCACAAAATAGCCTTCATTCATTCATGTATTCATGGCAGCAGAGTCTTATAGCCTAACTACTTCTTAAAAGGTCCACCTTTTAGTTCTGATATGTAGTGTATTAAGTTACTAACTCAACTAAGCTTTGGTAATGGGGAGACACATTCAAAACATAACAACTCAGGCTGGGCGCTGGTAGCTCACACCTGTAATCCTAGCTACTCCAGGGGGGCTAAGATCTGAGGACCGAGGTTCAAAGCCAGCCTGGGCAGAAAAGTCCCAGAGAGACTCTTCTCTTTAATTTCACTCAAAAAATGGAAGTGATGAAATGGCTCAAGTGGTAGCATACTCACCTTGAGGACAAAGAGGCCAGGCTCCGAGTTCAAGCCCCACAACTGACCAAAACAAACAAAAACACATATTAACTGAACTTCGATCTCCATTTGCAGTCATTATGACTTAACTTTGTTCTATTGTCTTCTTCCCACTTATTTTTTTTCTTGTGAACTCTTTGGCCTTGCATTTTCACTTGGATTTTTTTTCTCAAGGCTGGCACTCTACCACTTGAACCAGAGTTCTACCTCAAGCTTTTTGATGTTTAATTGGAGTTAGGAGTCTCAAGAACTTTCCTACCTGGACTAGTATTGAGCCATGATCCTCAGATCTCAACCTCCTGAGCAGCTAGGATAATCGGCATAGGTTACAAGCATCCAGCTCTTCGCATTTAGATGAAATGAAGTGATGTTATTCATTTCATGGTTCCCTGTTTATATTGTCTTTATTCCTGAAGTCTAATTGTAGAGACAGAAATCCTGCCCTTATTTTTCCCTGCCCACTCTGCAGCCTTCAAACCTGACCCTGGCACCCAATGTGGAGTGGACAGCTGATCAGATTTGTTGATTGGACCCCTGTTTCTCTAGTTGTACTGGTACAGGTAGCACTTCCCTGTTTTCCAGGCCTTGTCCCAGAATCCTTTCCCAGAATCCTTTATGCTCTTCTCCACAGATCGTTACAGTTCTGAACAAGAGTTTGTTGAAGACTTGAAGCACATGTGGTTTGGGCTGTATTCCAGAGGCAGTGAAGAGGGAGACTCTAGTGGCTTCGAACATGTCTTTTCAGGTGGGATCATTCTGCTTGGAAAGAAAGAATGGGAGGGGTGACGAGGCTTGGCTTTGCTCTGAGTCATGAACCCAGCCAGCTGGCCACAGGTCTTATTCACCCCCTGGGCTAGAAGGGTGGGATGTGACCAGCCTCTCTTAGAGTAACTCAGAGGGAGAAAAGAGACCAGATACAGAGTTTCCCAGGGGCTTACATCTAGGATGAGTGAGTGTTTGGGGCATCATTGATCTGCCTCGGAGCCCTCTTCTGTTCCTTTCAAAGAGACCTGTCTCACAGGCTCCCACCAATCCTGGCTTGTTCCTGGAGAAATCATGGAGAAGAAAATATGATGGTGAGGTCCTTAGGATCAGCCAGGAGGAAGGATTGTTCCTTGGACCTGAACTGAAAGGAAAGATTGAGAATATGAAGGGTTCTAGGCAGACAAGTGGCTAACCCCATGGACATTCTAGAAACTGAGGAGAGAGAGTAAGAGAGAGCAAGAGCAAGAGAGAGAGACAGAGACAGAGACAAAGAGACAGAGAGAGACAGAGAGAGACAGAAAGAGCTCCTGGGATTAGGATAGTGGAAAAATGACAGGGCAGGGAAGGAAATGTCAATCACCTTGTTCTTTTCTTTTTTTTTCATTATAGGTGAAGTCAAAAAGGGCAAAGTCACTGGCTTCCATAATTGGATCCGCTTCTACCTGCAGGAGAAGGAGGGTTTGGTTGACTACTACAGCCACATTTATGATGGGCCGGTGAGTCCCTGGGCTAGAAAAGCAAGCCTTATGGTGCCTCACTTCCCATACTCACTCTACTCTGAATGGTTGTTCTTGCTTCTCACCTGGGTGTGTAGCAGCAGCCCAATGGAAACTGGGAATCTGGTGACCTCATTTGCTGGTGGTGGTTTAATCAGCCAGGAGATGGAATATCTTCCAAGCAGTGAACTTTAGAAAGTGCAGGGGACAGGAGACAAAGGGTTCATGCCCAGACAGCAGGCCAAGGGCAGAAGAGGATTCTCAGAGTGGAGAGCCAGAGAGCTGCAGGCACCTTCTGCATCACTGTTCTTAGGTTGTAGCTGGAGGAAGCTGAGTGTTGGTGCCTCACACCCAGCTGTAATCCTAGCAGAGGCTGAGATCTGAGGATTTGTGTTTTGGAGCCAGTTGAGGCAGGAAAGTCCACAGGGCTCTTATCTCCAGTTATCCACCAAACATCCAGAATTTGAGCTGCTGCTCAAGTGATAGATCACTAGCCTTGCGCAAAAAAGGCTCAGAGACAGCACTCAGGCCCTGAGTTCAAACCCCAGGACTGGCATAGAAAAGGAAGTATGGGAGGGAGGGAAGGAGGGAGGGAGGGAAGGAGGAAGGAAGGAAGGAAGGAAGGAAGGAAGGAAAGAAGGAAAGAGAAAGAAAGAAGATGTAGATGAAGTTTCAGTTGACTTGTAAGAGCTAAACTCCATACATATATACAAATACACACATACACACACACGTGTGTGCGTGTGTGTGTGTGTGTGTGTGTGTGTGTGTGTATGTGTCTTGGTTCTGGGATTTGAACTCGGGCCCTGGGCACTGTCCTTGAGCTCTTTTGCTCAAGACTAGTGCTCCACTTTGAATCATAGCACCACTTCCAGTTTCCTAATGGTTAATTGGCAACAAGAGTCTCACTGACTTTTCTGCCCTGCTGGCTTCGGATGTTGACCCTCAGATCTCAGCCTTCTGAGTAGCTAGGAACACAGGCGTGAGCCACCAGTACCTAGCTTTCTCTATTTTATAAGAAACCTCTGACACCCTGCATCGAGATACTATTTGAGGACAATAAACTTTCTCTTCCATGTGCGAAGGCCGCAGGAAACGGTCACATCCCTATGACTCTGGAGCAGCTCATATGGCCCCTGACTGTGGCCTGTTTGTCAGTGGCCTGAGCAGTCTCCCTCTGCCACTTTTCCCTTTGTAGTGGGATTCCTATCCTGATGTGTTGGCAATGCAGTTCAATTGGGATGGCTACTACAAGGAAGTGGGCTCGGCTTTCATCGGCAGCAGCCCCGAGTTCGAGTTTGCCCTCTACTCCCTGTGCTTCATCGCTAGACCAGGCAAAACGTAAGTACTGATCCAGCCAGGGTACTGGGGCAGTGGCTGGGCCTCACACTCTTTGGCTGGGGTAAGATCGGGAGGACTAGAGTCTTCACACCATGGCTGAGAAGGCTTGGATAACTTACTAGGTTTGGTCCTCAGTTTGATCTCTTGGATAATAAGGTTATTAGGATTCATTTAGTGATCACCAAATTTCATCCAAGCAGTAGAATCATTTTCCATTGTCTTAGCCCCAAAATGAAGTTTTTTTATTTTTTTTTGGGGGGGGTGTCCAGTTGTGGGGCCTGAACTCTGGGCCTGGGCGCTGTCCCTCAGCTCTTCAGCTCAAGGCTAGTGCCCAACACTTGAGCCTCAGCCCCACTTCCAGCTTTTTCTGCTTATGTGGTGCTGAGGAACCAAACCAGGGCCTCATGCATGCAAGGCAAGCGCTCTACCACTGAGCCACCTTCCCAGCCCCAACTGCCTTCTTTTTTTTAAAGGCGTGCACTCTACACTCTACTTCCTACTTTTTTTTCTGGCTAATTGGAGATAAGAGTCTCTCAGAGTTTCCAACCTGGCCTTGAATTGTGTTTCTCAGATCTTGGCTTCCTGAGTAGCTAGAATTCCAGGCATGAGCCACCAGCACCCACTCTAACTGAAGTTTTATGCAGTAACTTAATATATAAAGATGTTAAAGATGGAGTTGTCCTGGGGCTCTCATCCTCTCAATTTGGCTCTGTGTGTGGTGGGACAAAACCTAGAGCCTCAGAGAGAGCAGGAGGTAACAACTGGTTCTTCTGCTCTCCATCACTTGGGAACTTTTGATCCTTTGACTTTTGAAACAGGAAGCAAACATAGACTTCCTGAGGACTTCTGCTCTAGGATCTATGAGTTTGGATTATTACTCTGGAAAAGATGAGCAATTCTGTTCTTGTTAAATTTTTTTAATTTTTGGTGCCAGTCCTGGGGTTTGACCTCAGGATCTGTGTGCTTTGCTTAGCTTTTTCCCACTCAAGGCTGGCACTCTACCACTCGAGCCACAGTTCTACTTTAGGCTGGCTAATAGTTAATTGGAGATAAGAGTTTCATGGACTTTTCCTGCCTGGGCCGGCTTCTAACTGTGATCTTCCCATCTCAGCCTCCTGTGTGAGAAGTTCTTTTTTTTTTTGTCAGTTGTGGGGCTTGAACTCTGGACCCGAGCGCTGTCCCTCAGCTCTTCAGCTCAAGGCGAGTGCTCTACCACTTGAGCCACAGCGCCACTTCCCTGTGTGAGAAGCTTTGTTCTTTAAGGGGATGGTGAATCAGGTGTGGATGGCGAAGGCTACCTCTGATTCTGCGGGAGCTTTCATCTTGGAGGCTGGACCTTCTCAGGGTCTGCCTGGAGCCTTCCCTTGGTGCAGACAGAGGAGGGGCAACGTGGTGGGAGCCTCTGACTTGGGATCTTCCTCCACAGGTGCCAGTTAAGCCTAGGTGGATATCCCTTGGCCATCCAGACCTACACCTGGGACAAGACCACCTACGGGAATGGCAGGAAGTACATCGCCACAGCCTATGTGGTGTCTTCCACCCGATAGAGCTTCAAGCCGGAAGAGGACAAGAAGGCTCATTCGGAACTGAAGTGCTGCCTGCCTTGGACCCAAGAGGGGAGAGAGGACCCCAAGAGCCCCACATTCTAAATCTACAAAAAGGGACCCTCCCAGTCCAGAAGGGAAAGATACCAATTAGGAAAATGTAGAGAAGTGGTCAACTCTTTATTTTAAGGAAGATAGTCTAAGAAATGGACTGCTGGAGGGAGAAGGTGGTGCCACACGTGCACCGCTGGCCTCATCTTTGATCGGAAGGGAAGGGGTTGCCTCCTTTTCTCTTTTTGGGATGGGTGAGAGAGTAAACCTGATGATAATATTACTGTGAAGGTGAAGAACGACTGATCAAAATTCCAGATGACTATAATGGCTGTGATTGGATACAGCTCAGGTAGAAGAGGCATGCAATTCAGCCCTCTGTTGGGCTGGTCTTTTCTAGAATTTAAATCTTCTCAGAATAGAGGCTGGAAAAATCTGACATGGGCTGAGCAGGGTAAAGGCTTGAATACTGAATGGGCTGGGGCCTATGGCTTCCTCCAAGCTTGAGTGTGTGTGTGTGTGTGTGTGTGTGTGTGTGTGTGCTGGTCCTGGGGCTTGATCTCAGGCCCTCACATGCTCACTCAGCTTTTTCACTCAAGGCTGATGCTCTACCACTTGAGCCATACTTCAACTTCTGGGTTTTTTTTGCTGGTTAATTGGAGATGAAATCTCATGAATGTGTTCCCCTAGGCTGGCTTCAAACTGTGATCTAGTGCTTAGATCTCAGCCTTCTGAGTAACTATGATTATAGAGATTGGTGTCCATGAATGCCTGGCACCCAGCTAGGCTTGAGTGCTTTTATAGCCAACTCACTATCTGCTTATATTTGTGCCATACACACACACACACACATGTGTGTGCATATATATATGTATATATATATATGTATATATATATATATATGTGTATATATATATAGAGAGAGAGAGAGATAGAGAGAGATGTTTGGTGCAGTTACAAATTTGTGTTTTGATTCCAAATAGTTTTGTTTGTGTTTGGAGAAAAAAAAATCTTATATGAGGAAGATTTGGTATTGAGGAGAAAGGAATTTCTAGTTTGATGTCATCCACAGTTATATGAAGGCTTATTCAGATTCATAGTTTGAATAATGCTAGGGAGGTCAGAGATCCCTAACTCACCCTCCGTGCTGCATTTGGAGGCCAGGGGCTCCCCCACAGAGCCAGGCTTGCATCATGGAGGTCATGTTTCCAATTAAAGTTACCTGAAAACCCTGCAAATGTGTCTCTTCTTTCCCTGTGACCCTCTGACAGGTGGTATCTCTGCCTTGGCCCTGGAGTAGGGTTGGAAGCTTTCTCAGAATGGCTTGGAGATTTTGTAGTATCTGGGTGAGGTCCCCAAATGAGTCACCAAATTTCTCTACAGAGACAGGGAGAGAATTCTGTGTATGCCTGTCACCATGAGGCCTGGAAAGAGCAGTGGAGATTTATGGGGAAACGAATAGAGATTGGGTGGCCCCTATCCTGTGAAACAGTCTCCTTAGTCACACCCATGAGGAGCAGAAAGAGCCCCTGGGTGCAGCTATTGTGCCTAGCACAGGTTGACCAAACAGAGGGAGGAGACGATGGTGAAAGGAAACTGACTTCTCACCTGTGCACAGACCATTTGGGCCAACATGCTCGCAAGCTGCCAAGCGCAAGGTGAGAATGGGCAAGTTGCAGAGTACAGAGGAGGGTACCTCTGGTCATATAGTATAATACTTACCAAGATGGGGCTGGGAAGGTGGCTCAGTGGTAGAGCACTTGCCTTGCATGCATGAGTCCCTGGGTTCGATTCCTCAGCACCACATAAGCAAAAAGAAAAAAGCCAGAAGTGGCGCTGTGGCTCAAGTGGAAGAGCGCTAGCCTCGAGCTGAAGAGCTGAGGGACAGCGCCCAGGCCCAGAGTTCAGGCCCCACGACCGGACCCCCCCAAAAATATATACATATATATATATATTTATCAAGATGAACTGCAGGAAATGGGACCAAGAGGGTTATTTTTGTTTGTTTTTCTCTTTTGTTGATCTGTCTTTGGAAGGAGAAATGAAGGGACAAAGGGTGCACAAATGCAGTAATGGTACTCACACTCACTAGGCACTACATTGAAAATGAACTATACAGGCTGGGCATGTGGCTTAGTGGTAGAGTGCTTGCCTAGCATGCATGAAGCCCTGGGTTCAATTCCTCAGTACCACATAAACAGAAAAAGCTGGAAGTGGCACTGTGGCTCAAGGGGTAGAGCCCTAGCTTTGAGCAAAAGAAGCTCAAGGACAGTGCCTAGGCCCTGAATTCAAGCCCCAGGACCTGAAAAAAAAAGAACTATATAATCTGTGAGGAGGGATGGGAGGGAAAACTGGGAGAGAGTGAAGGAAGGGGTGGAATTGTCCTGACTTATGTAACTGTAACCTCTCAGAATATTGCCTTTATAATAAAAATTAAAGTATTTAATTAGAAAAAAAAGAGTACAGAGGAATGAAGTAGGGCCTTGTCCTGCTCTTTCTCAGAGGTGTTCCCAATCCAGTAGGATAGATAGGAGGTCCGCTGGACACAGGGGGCTCAATGCCTGTAATCCTAGCTACTCAGGAGGCTGAGATCTGAGGATCACAGTTTGAATCCAGCCCAGGCAGGAAAGTCCACAAAACTCTTATCTCCAATGAACCACCCCAAATCTGGAAGTAGAGCTATAACCCAAGTGGTAGAGTGCTAGCTTTGAGCACAAAAGCTCAGGGACGGTGCCTAGGCCCTGAGTTCAAGCCCTTGGACTGGCACCAAAAACAACAACAAAACCACAGAGTATCACTTGGATATAAGGATCAAGGTTCAGACTCTGAGGTCAGATTCCCCAAGGGTCTAGCAAGGGTGGCTGACTGATAGGGAAAATTACTGATTCAGATCAGCATCCTCATCAGTAAGATGGGGACAATAATACCACTGTGGGATAATCAATGTAGATGCTATGATAGCTGCTTTCATCATTTTTATTTGTCTCACATACTATGTAGATTTATTTATTTTTATTTTTCTGATACTGGGGTTTGAACTCAGGGACTAGGTGCTGTCCCTTAGCTTATTTGTTCAAGGCTAGCGTTCTACTATAGAGCCACATTTCCATTTCCATTTTTGGTGGTTCATTGGAGGTAAGAGTCTTATGGACTTTTCTTCCCCAGGTTGGCTTCAAAATGTGACCCTTATATCTCAGCCTCTTGAATAGCCAGGATTACAGGCCTGAGCCACTAGCTTATAGATTTCATTTTGTAGAAGGAAGCAATTCACTTTCCCTGTGAGCAGACTTAACCATTATCTAATGATGCTCAGGACTTGTGCTTCTGACAGAACTCTTCTGAAGCCTTCTGGTGGACAAGTGGAAGATAGAGCTAGATATAGGAGAGGAGAGTCACTATGGCTTCAGCTTTGCAGGATATTTGATATATTCTTACCATTTCTCATGTGTTGGTATGATTACCTTTATTTAAATTTGATTTAGATATCTGAGACTCACTCAGATCAAGTTATGTTCTTAGTAAGTAATAAAATCAGATTTACAAAATTCTACCCTTTTCTTGCTTGCTGTAGTGAGCTTGGATTTATGTATTTATGTATGTATTTATTTTTGGTCCTGTCGTGGGGCCTGAACTCTGGGCCTGGGCCCTGTCCCTCAGCTGTTCAGCTCAAGGCTAGCGCTCTACCACTTGAGCCACAGCGCCACTTCCGGCTTCTTTTTTTTTTTTGCTTATGTGGTGCTGAGGAATGGAACCCAGGGCCTCATGCATGCAAGGCAAGCGCTCTACCACTGAGCCACCTTCCCAGCCCTGAGCTTGGATTTTGATATCTAGCTGTTCATGTATTGTGCTGTATGTGTGGGGTTGTGTTTGTGTGTGTGTGTGTGTGTGTGTGTCTCTGTGTGTCTCTGTGTGTGTGTCTGTTTCTGTGTGTCTATGTGTTGGTACTAGAGCTAGAACTCAGGACTTCATATTCTTGATTGTCTTTTTTATTTATTTATTTTTGCTGGACTTGAGGCTTGAACTCAGGGCCTGGGTGCCCTCCCTGAGCTCCTTTTCCTCAAGGCTGGTATTCTACCATGAGCCAAAGCTCCACTTCCAGCTTTTTCTGTCACTAATTGGAAATAAGGGTCTCACAGACTTTCTGCCAGGACTGGCTTCAAACCATAATCCTCAGATCCTCCTAATTAACTAGGATTACAACAAACCAAGGGCTCCCAGAACTCACTTAAAAAAAAATCAAACTGGGGCTCTACTATGTGAGCCACAGTTCCACTTTTGGCTTTTTGCTGATTAACTGGAGATAAGAAATTTTCAGATTTGTCTGCCTGAGCTTGCTTTGAACTGAGATCCTCAGGTCTCAGCCTCCTTGAATAGCTATGATTACAGGTGTGAGCCACCAGCATCTGGGTTATTATGTGTTTGTTTGTTTGTTTGGTGGGGGGCAGGGCCTTGCTATGTATCCCCAGCTGGTTTCAAACTCACAATCCTCAGCCTCAGGAGTGCTGGAATTTTAGGCTTTGCCAATATATTGGGCTTTCAGTTTGTTTTAAAAGAATACTTAATGCTTACACTGGGTATGGTGTCATAGGCCTGCAATTCCCACCCTCTTGTGGTGGAAGGAAGAGGATTGAGAGTTTGAGGCCAGTGTGGGCTACATAATGAGACTTGTCCCAATCAATCAATCAAACTAACCATCCCTCTAGAACTCGAGAGTATTTAAGGCCTAAGACAGAGGCTGCTGTTGCTCCTCGATATTTACTCTCCTCATTTCCTTCCTTAATTCATTGTATTCTGTTTTTAGATAGGTACATGACTGCCAAGAATAAAAAGCCCCAACTTCCTTTGTCATGATGAATGATCATGTGCCTAAATCCAAGCCAATGGTAAATAAGACGGAAAAATATTTTTTTTGGTCTGAGACCAGGACTTGAATTTGGTACCTAATGCTTTCAATCATTGGCTAGCATTCTCTAACCTCAAAATAAAGCATTCTAAAGGGGCCTGAAGTACCATTGTTTCTTTTTCTCTTCCTTGCTGACTTAATTTCAGACACAATTGCTGCTGGAGCTTGAGTGTCTATATTGTACCATGAATGAAATCATTGCTGGAGATGGTCAAACAGTAGTAGGCCCCAGGGCCTCATATTAGGATTGTGCTGGATTGTTTATGTTTAGACATACACAAGATAGAAATACTTTTTCATGTTTAAGCTTTTACCTCCGGCTTTCTGTCACATATCTCTGTTACAGTATCTGTAATAGAACACAATATCTGTGTAAAAGGAAGTAAATTTTCATCCTAAAGATACTTACTAACTTTGCTGAGATTCCTATTAACTGCCAGAACATTTTATATTTAACTGCAGGGAAAGAACTCCATGGTTGTTTAGACATGAAATCAACAGCTTTCACAATGATTCATTGTATCAATTTACTCTTGCAACAGATACTCATATTTGTTCCCTCTAATGATTACAATGTCAGCATATAAACCACAAAAAGATTGTGTCCTTGAAAATCACTATACAGATATTAACAGTGAGTTCAAAGGAGAGAATTGGAGTTTATTTTTGGTAAAAATTAAGAAGTGAATAAAACAGACATCTAAGAAAGGCATGATGTACTCACTTTATTGAAGCCTATTTTATGACAATTGCCCATAGATGTGTAGAGGTCTCTAGCAGAGAAGATGGTTGCATTTCAGCTCACAAGGAAGAAGACTGTCTTAGCAGGGAAAATCAGAGCCCCCGGATTAGATAGAAGTGGCTGTTAAGACATTTATTTAACTCGTTTTTGCTCTTTGGTCCTATATTCACTGTTATCTTCTGATAATATATGGGGGAGGGGAGAAAAATAGAGGAAAGAGAGTGGGGAGATTTTACTCTCTCTAGGTCTATGAACAATTGACCCTGTTTTAGCTCATATCAGTCAGCTCTGCTAATATTAATAAAAACAATTATAGACCACCAATTATATGCCATCAATTATAGACAATTATAAGACCATCAATAAATCAATATTGTTTTAAACTCATCTATTATTAATTTTAAACTACATTAGGATCTCTTAAAAGCAGGTTGATTTCCCCATAACACTAACAAAAATATTTCATTAATAAATATTTTGGTGATGCACTTAAGGATTTGATTACTAGGACCTTAAAATTCATTTGGGGTAGAGGAAGTAATGACATTACTTTGTGACAGAGCACTCTTGAGGTGACTTTTCATGGACCAGCTCCTGGGTTGGTGGTTTCCAGCCTGTCGTTAAAAAAGAAATACTAAAAATTAAAAAATTGATAGTGAGGCTGCACTCCAGACTAATTAAATCAGAATGTCTCAGACAGGATTCACAAATCGGCTTGTTTGTAATTATGTACATACTTACATCTTTCACCCTCCCTGACCCCAAACTTCATTCAAGCTTGGGAATCATTGATCTCAGTGTTGGGGATAATATTTGAGATTATAAAATTGATCTAATTTGAAATTTGGCTATTTGTGTTTGTGGACTGTAAAGTTATATGCGATTTATTTTACAGTTGTTAGGGTAATGAAAGTTTTGCTCACAAAGAAAGTGGAAGCCTAAAGTGTTAAAGGCTTCATATTCATTTTTTCTTTTAGATAAGCCAAAATAAGTCCTTGGAGCTAGGCACTGGTGGTCCGTGCCTATAATTTTAGCTACTCAGGAGGCTGGAATCTGAAGGATGGGGTTCGAAGCTAGCCTGGGTAGAAATGTCTTTGAGGTTCTTATATCGAATTAACTAGCAAAATGCTGGACGGGAAGTGTAGAAGTATGGCTCAAGTGGTAAAAAGACAGCCAGTTGGGGGGGGGGGACAACAAATGAGAGCGAATAGCCCTGAGTTCAAGCCCAGGTATACACACACATCAGATCTTAATATTGACACACATTAGATTCAGAGATACATACACTGCAGGGAAGGCAGACAGACAAGTATTTACAGAGGGGAATAAAAGACAGCCACAACATGGTCCAGATCCTAGAGAAACAGCGTCCTTCTGATACAATGATCATTTATCAAGACAAAAGCAATACAAGTAGTAAGGACAAAAGCGCTGAGAATTCAAGCAAATACCCCCAGGCTTTATTGCCTGGCGGCTCCTACTAGCTCGGGGTGACTTCAGTTTGGGGGGGGGGTTCAGCTGAGTGACACTGAAGCCGACCCAGCCTCCGATTTCGCTTTTGACACTCTCAGCCCCGCCCCCTCCAGCTGTAGCCAACCAGAGCAGCAGGCCCCCCCCCAGCCTGACCTTCTGCGCATGCTCCGGTCAGGCTCCCGGGGGCGGGGCGCGCGGCGCGCAGGGTCTTGTGGGAAGGGCCGGCGTGAGTCGCCGCGGCTCTGAGGCGCTGAGTGGGGAAGACAGCGCCGGCCCGGGGCAGGTGGGTGGACGCTGCCGTTGTCACCCGCTGCAGGGGCCCATTTTGGGGGGAGGGGGTCTCCTAGCGGGAAGAGGAGGGGGGAGGTCGCACCGAAGGTCAGGGTGAGGCGGAGAGGACTGGGGCGGACTGCGCAGGCTCGGTGTCCTGGGTAGCGGCGTCCCTGGAGCGCATCCCTGGGGAGGAGTCGGCGCGCGCGCCCGGGCCGAGACCTTGGGCCTGGCCTGAGGTGGGGATGTGGGGGGGGCGTCCCCCACCCCCTGAGGAGGGGGGTCGTGACGGCGGAGCCTCCGTTCCCCCCCCCAGCACCGCGAGGGGCCCGCCCCCCTCTGCGCCTCCGCGGGCCCCAAGTTCTCCTAGGTCTCCGGATGTGACCCTGATATTGCCCCCCCCCGAGCACCCCGTGTGTCTGGTAGCCGGTGGGGCGGGGGAGACCCCGGGTTGGAACCTCCACTCCTCTTGATGAGCTAGTCTGACCACGGATCGAGGCACACGAGGCCATCCTAACTCTCTGCTGATTTTTCTCTGGGTTGGGGAGGGGGGGGGGAATGAAATCGAGCTGAATGCCGACCAGGTTGGCTTTGAACCCCGACCCTCCGGATCTGAGCCTCCTGAGTAACCTAAGATGTTAGATCTGAGCCACCAGCGGCCAGGCAGCAGTGAATAATCTTGGTTAACTGGAGATACGAGTGTCGGATTGGTCTTCCCCGGGCTGGCTTGGGACCCAGATCCTCAATTCTCAGCTTCTCGAGGAGCTGGGATTACAGGCGAATGCCGCTGGCACCAGGTTTGAATCATCTTTATACAGCTAAATGCGGTGTGCTTTAAAAAAAAAAATTATGCCAGGCCTGGGGTTTGAATTCAGGGCCTGGGTGCTATCTCAAGCGCCCCCCCCCCCCCCCTCCTCTAAACCTAGTACCGTACCACTTGAGCCAGCCACACTTCTGGCTTTTTGGTGGTTAATTGGAGAGAGGTAAGAGTGTCACAGACATTCCCCCCTGGGCTGGCTTCAAACAATCCTCAGATCTCAGCCTCCTGAGTAACTAGGATTACAGGCCCTGCCAGCGCTTGGCTACAATGTGTTTTCTTTACCCACCCATGTTGGCACTACTAATCTGTCCCACTTTGATAAAACGTATTGCCTCTGGCCATCCTTGAACATACTCTTTAGTTTCCCCCCAGCTCTGTTATGTGCTGCTGCCTAGGTTTTCTGATGGTGGCCTGTTTTCCTGTTCCTTAAATATTAATGTTTTTCAGGCTCTTCCAAACCCCCAGTCATCATTGAGGCTAAACATGTTCAAATCATGACTCTAGCTTCTGTCTTTGCTGGTGACACTCATTTATCCTTAGTCCTTTAGAGCTACCTTCTAGGTATCTCCTCCTGCTGTGTTCCTTAAGTACTCAGATTCTGCCAACTGAATTAATCCTGCTTTCTATTTGTCACCCCTCTAACTGAAACCTCTTTTCCTTTATAAGTTGCATCTTCTGAATCAAAATGGTATTACCAATCTTTTTTTTTTTTTTTTTTGGTCCGGTCCTGGGGCCTGAACTCTGGGCCTGGGCCCTGTCCCTCAGCTCTTCAGCTCAAGGCTAGCGCTCTACCACTTGAGCCACAGCGCCACTTCCAGCTTTTTTCTTTTTGCTTATGTGGTGCTGAGGAATCAAACTCAGGGCCTCATGCATGCAAGGCAAGCGCTCTACCACTGAGCCACCTTCCCAGCCCCCCCCCCTTTTTTTTGTCAGTTGTAGGCCTTGAACTCTGAGCCTGGGCACTGTCCCTCAGCTCTTCAGCTCAAGGTTAGAGCTCTACCACTTGAGCCACAGTACCACTTCTGGCTTTTTTCTTTTTTCTTATGTGGTGCTGAGGAAAGGAACCCAGGGCCTCATGCCTACAAGGCAAGCACTCTACCACTGAGCTACCTTCCCAGCCCAGTATTACCAATCTTACCAGGCTCCCAAGACAGAAATCTAGGACATCACTTGAGTCTTTCTTTCTTTTTTTCTTTATTTGTCAGTCATGGGACTCAAACTTTGGGCCTGGGTGCTGTCCCTCAGGTCTTCAGCTCAAAGCTAGCTCTCTACCACTTGAGCTACAGCGCCAGTTCCGGTTTTCTGGTGGTTTATTGGAGATAAGAGTTTCACAGAGGGCTGGGAAGGTGGCTCAGTGGTAGAGTGCTTGCCTTGCATGCATGAGGCCCTGGGTTCGATTCCTCAACACCACATAAGCAAAAAGAAAAAAGCCAGAAGTGGCACTGTGGCTGAAGTGGTAGAGTGCTAGCCTTGAGCTGAAGAGCTGAGGGATAATGCCCAGGCTGACAAAAAAAGAGTTTCACAGACTTTCCTGCCCAGGCTGGCTTTGAACCTCGATCCTCAGATCTCAGCCTCCTGAGTTGCAAGGATTACAGGAGTGAGCCACCGGAGCCTGGCTACACCTAGAATTTTCTTTACACCTAGAATTTTCAGTCTGGTCAAGCATCACATCTTTTTTATTTTACCATTTTCAAGATCTTCACATTAGAATATAGATCAGAACTCAGGGCCTGACATTTCAAAGTTGGTCCCATATCTACCTTCCCTCTTTTTTCTCCCTCATAGTTTCCCATTCTGCTTCTGTAAGTCATTTGTTTGGCCTCTTTTTTTTTTGGAAATTGGGTGTGGGGTGCTGTCCCTGAATTTTTGCTCAAGGGTAATGCTCTACTACTTTGAGTCACCGTACCACTTCCTGTTTTCTGGTGGTTACATGGAGATGAGAGTCTCCTGCTGAGCAAAGTTTCCTGCTGAGACTGGCTTTGAACTTTGTGATCCTCAGATCTCAGCCTCCTGACTAGCTAGGATTCCAGGCATGAGCCACTAACACCCAGTTTGACTGGCCCTTGTTAAAACCTGGCTGAAATTTCAGTACTTCAGGGAGCTCCTTCCTTAACCCTGTCACCTACCACCTGATTTATACCTGTCCTTTGTGGTCAGTATTTATAGGGCTCAATGTGGCTACTTTGCCTTTCATGGGCCATCTGGCACTGTGAACAGTTTGGTTTATCACAACATCTAGTGCAAAGGGATGGTACTAGCCATTAGCCTTTAGAAGATAATAAGGCTGTTGCTAACAAGAGGAATCTTCCAGCTCAAATGTCCATAGTCCCAAGGTTGAGAAATCTGATTTGACATAGTTCTCTATCACTAAGTACTTAATCTTGTTTTCATCACAGTAGACAGGAGGTCTTGTCTTTTTTGTTTTTGCCTCTATAAAATTTTTGCCATGGTGTCTGTCAAGTACAAGTTCAATATGTGGTAGAAAAAGAGGAGTAAAGAAAGGAATTGGACTGAGTACTAGTGGCTCACACCTGTCATCTTAGCCTCTTAGGAGGCTGAGATCTGAATATTGCAGTTTGAAGGTCAGGCAGGAAAGTCTGTGAGACTCTTATCTCCAGGTAATCACATAAGAGGTGAAAATGGAGCTGTGGCTCAAATGGTAGAGTGCCAGTCTTGGGCAAAAAAAAAAAAGCCAAGAGACAGGCTCTTTGTTCAAGCCCCAATATCAGCACCAAAAAAGAAAAAAAGAAAGAAAAAAAGAAGTTGGAATATACTTACAAACTAGAAAACAAGCAGCCAGTCTGCCATTACTACCTAATTTCTGTAATCCCCCCACACCTTGCCTTTCATACTGGCTTTTGAGGAGATCAGATTTGTTAGCAAATTACTCATTTAAAAATATTACATTGATACTTTGTTTAGCATCAACATAGTCTCCTGTCCATATATTTTGGCCCTTTATAAAGTGATACAAGTTGTTAAGTAAGTTTCAGAAAAATAAACCAAATGTAGACAGTCCGTCCCTGACTTAATGATCTCCTTTCTGGTGGTGAGAAAGAAATATGCATTCAATGGAAACTCCTTTGAATTTTGGTCATTTTCTGGGTGGGTATTATGTGGTATAAAAGTCTCATAATGCTGGGCAGTGACCATGAGCAGCAAGTCTTTTCTACTATGTATCACAAGAGGAAACAATTTATATTCTATGTAGTGTCTTTTTAGGCTGTGATTGGCAGGTGTATTAAATGCTTGTTTTTGAGACAGGGTCTACTGTGTATTCCAGACTGATCTTCAGTGGCGATCCTACCTCTGCTGCCACCATGCCTGCAGAAGTGTTTTGGTTTTTTGTTTGTTTGATAGTACTAAGATGTGAACATAGGGTCTTGTACTAAGATGTTAACAAAGGGTCTTGTGCTTGCCACGCAGATACTCCACTCCATGAGCCATAACTCTAGCCCATAAAGTTCATTTTTTATTTAACTGTCTTCAATTTGCAAGGGGTTGAGGGGGCTGCCACACCATTGTAAATTGAGGAACAACTGTTATCTCATTTATTTCTTATCAAGGATTGACCAAAACTTTGAAGGCAATAATGACTTCAAATAAAGCAATTGAATTACAACTACAAGTGAAACAAAATGCAGAAGAATTACAAGACTTTATGAGGGATTTAGAACACTGGGAAAAAGACATTAAACAAAAGGACATGGAATTAAGAAGGCAGAGTGGTGTTCCTGAAGAGGTAAATTGAGAAATCCTAATTTAGATACAGCAAAACTTCCTTATTTTACAACAAAGCATGACTTTATTTATTTTTTATTTGTTTAGGCCAGTCCTGGGGATTGAACTTAGGGCCCCACCACTATCTCAGAGCTGTTTTTCTCTACCAAATGACTGATAGCTCCACTTTCAACTTTTTTTTTTTTTTTTGGTGCTTTGCTGGCATTGATCCTCAGATTTCACCCTCATGAGTAGCTAGGATTATAGCTGTGCCCAGAGCATAGCTTTTTAAAATGTTTTGTGAAAATACTAAAATTGAAATGATTTACTTCACTGTTAACAGTTTTAGAAATTGTACATCTTTTAAATATGCAGAATTTGTAGTAACTCCATTCAGTATAGTAAAATATTTTAAGTCTTAGCATTATAAAATATCAAAGGATGTGTGTATACATATATGTGTTATGTATTTAAGGATATATAACATAACAGTATTGGCATAAATGTTTTTCATAAGTCAGTATATTTAAATATGGCTAAATTTTTGGGGTTTTTTTGTTCTTTTAAGTTTGTTGTTTTAGAGGTGATATATAGTGGAGTTAGCTTTACATACATCAGGTATAGTATCATCTGTTCCCCCATTCTCTCCCATTCCCTCCCTCCCTCCCATCTCTACTCATGAATTGCATAGTTCACTTTCATTAACTTTTAGTATTATATGTAGTGATGTGGGAACACTTCAGTTTGCCTTTGAAATACTGCTTGTTCATTGTTCTAACTAAAGATTTAAGTTGCTTTTGAAGTTTGAATTTAGGATTGTAAATTAAAAGGATAATTCAGATTTCCAGGTGATATTTTTTTTGGTGCATGGATAGTATCCAACCTAAATAAAAGAATGAAACTTTTCAAGCATAATTACTTTTTTTTTTTTTTTGGTGTTGGTCTTGGGTCTGAACTTGAGGGCTGGGGGCTGTCCCTTAGCTTTTTAACTCAAGGCTGGCACTCAACCACTTGAGCCACAGCTCCACTTTTGCTTTTTGCTGACTAATAAGAGATAAGAGTTCCACAGACTTTTCTGCCTGAGCTGGCCAAGATCTTCAAACTTCAGCCTTCTTAGTAGCTAGGATCACAGGCATGAGACACCAGCACCCATTGCTGGTGAAGCTGATAAATTGATTCTTTGAGTCACTTTCAAATTCAATTGGAAACAGTTCTTAACATTGTTAATTATTTAAAAACAACAACAACACAGTATTCAATCTTTTTTTTCTCTCTGCCTAGAATTTACCTCCTATTCGAAATGGGAATTTTAGGAAAAAGAAGAAAAGTAAAGCTAAAGAGTCTTCCAAGAAAACCAAACAAGAAAACACAAAAAACAGGATAAAATCTTACGACTATGAGGCATGGGCAAAACTTGATGTGGTAAGCTAATAGTGTCATGTGCTTCTTAATACTGGAATGAAATTCTTGGATTTAGCTAATAGTCATGGATTAAAGAAAAATACTAGGGTTCTTATGTCCTGTGTCTTGTCTCTCTTTTTTCCTTTTCTTTGCCTGGAGTTTCAACTCAGAGCTTTGTGTTTGTGTTTTGTTTT